AAGGCAAAAAACCCATGTTCATGTTGCGGAAATTAACATCAAATACGGATGTGCAACCTGGCGATCTTCCTGGCAGCGCAGGATTGGATAGAAATATCGGCCGGTCACATCAAAACACCTCGTACGACCCACCTGGCGGAATCATATAAATCAATATATCACTATTCAGCGCCAGAATAGCGCAGAACTATCGCAATCCTCGGAGTTGTTGTGCCCTGCTTTACTGCATAGCGTAATCGTATCGAATCTAGACGGCAGCACATTTATTTGTTTTGCGGTCAAAAATCCCCTGCCGGTGTATGTATATTGGATTTGGTCTGGGAAATGTTTGATGTCTGGGCAAGGGAAATGCAACTGATGGATCAGTCTGGGAATAGCATGTCACATTGTTTTGATCACGACGGCTGATTGAGCAAAATCAAATTTGCCGTATACCAGGATTTACACGTCGCGTCACATTGTCGTTTTCTACTGTTGATTTTCGCTTGTTCGGAGCATTTGAGCAAAGACGAAACTGCACGGATGTTCGTTTATGGTATGGTATCTACGATGAGATAGGAGTTTGGGATCTGCTCATCATCGGATGAGATGCTACGGAATGCGTATGTAGAAGGAAGAGTTGACTTAGGCTCATCATGACTCAGCCAGTCGGGACTTGTGCGGGTCGGTGATTGATGCTAGTATGCTACGATCTAGGGAGGGAGAATTTGAATGAATTGATTTTCATACATGTGCTCTGGGTCTGTTTGTCTATGCACTGATGCCCCTCGAGTCAGTGAAGTCTGCTTGCGAAACGGTATGTATATGAACGTCATGAAGCCGCCACTTTAGTCCCATTATGCGTTCGAAACATGAGGCGAGAGAGGAAATATATTTTCGGGGATTTTTCTTCTTATTTCTGTATTCTTTAGATGCCAGCTCGAATCATCACCACCTCAAGTCTGTTCGCACAAACACGAGATGGCAGCCTGGGCAAAAGAAGCATAACCTCGAGTGTGCGGTCGTCGGCTACTCGACGATTCCTATCCACCTTGAAACAAACTCGGGCGTCTGTTTTGGGTTGGGCTGTGAGGTCGGTAAATGCCGAGCTAGTCACACCGTGGGGGGCGTGAGACGAGGTCGTAGCTCCTATCTAGGTGAATCTGAAGAGGCTAGGAGATAGACATTCAGTGCGGGTAAGCTTTGAGCCTTGAGATTGGAGCCAGATCTATGCACGTGGCATGATATGAAGATCTGTATCTTGAAAATGAAGCAATACATTATTCTCGAGGTTTTTCCGCTTTTCTTATTTCAACAATACAACATATCTCTCTTGTATGTAAATTTCATTCCTAGGCCTCACTGGGTATGTTTGTCAGATTGTCTTCATGGTCTAGAGCAGATCTCCTGATCTAGACTCTCCTTATTTCCCTCTGGTAGTTGAAGATCACTCGTCAAGCTGAAACACGAATTGTGGGTGTTTGCCAAGAATGGCGGATGATCTCCAATTGATGAAATTTCCCCACATATGTACATTGAAAAACGTGTAGTCAATGCCGGTGGGGTTCGTTTCGGATTTCAACAAGGTCGTGATGGAAATGGTCTCCGGCGAGAGACGGTTGGGTCCCTCGTGTTACAGAAATATGGTGTTCGGTGTTGATCGAGGTAGAGAGTTAGCAAGCTTGAGGCATCAGGTCCAGGAAGGGCTACTAGAACTTGAGAGGCAAAAAGAAAGAAAATTGAAATCAATTGACACAAAAGTATTTGACTTGGCACAAGGGTTAGGTAACTAGAATTGCCTTGAGGCTAGTTACAGTAAATTTTGAGGCTTTCTTAACATTCAAAACTAGCGAGGGTTGGCGGAATTGTATCTACAACTGAATATTTGGAAAATTCTGGAGAATATTTTAAAATGTAACTGGAAAAGCAGGGTTAAAGGCCAACATGCGTGAGAAAGATGAATAAAATACTATAAAAAAAGAAGAGAGTATAGAAGATACAAAAAAAAGAAAGAAGACGAAGTTAAGGGAAAAGAGCAAACGTTTTAATAGTACCGTGATCCTAGAAATCAACTCTTAAAGTAATCGCATTTAAAGCACCAAATCTTGTACCTTTCGACATGATGTTGTGGTTTTAAATTAAAATCTTCACACCGCTTCATGATCTCGGAGTGACAAAAAACCCCGCAGCCACCATACTTGCCTTTTATAACCTCAAATAAATTGTACCCTTTCACATACGACCATAGACTAAGGAGAATTGGGCATCCCGTCCGCTCTGCCATACACAAGCCTTAGATCGGCGGATCAGTAGTTGAGTGGGTGACCATCAGCGAATCCCCGCTGTTGTATGTTTTTTGAAAATCTTAGCAATTTTTTTCAATCAATTTCGCTGGAAAGTATTTACGATTGACTTATGATGGGAGTTAAATAATCAATTGATATCTATGTATATTTCAGGTTCTTTCACAGGAATATTTAACCATCTGGCAAGCTTTTTGCAAGCTCGGAAAGCAATCAACATATACTTTGACATCTCATTAGCACTATTGAGCGTCCCAGCATCAAAGAGAGACAAGGACTGTACCATCATCTCAAAACCAGCAATAAGTAGATGTCGCCACCAACTCTACCAATTTACCCAATTGAATTGGTAGACTAGCCCAACGACAGTGCTGATGGAAAAAAGCTTGGGCCCGAGAGTGATAGTGGCAAATTTGCGGTGAGGAGCTCAACCACATTGCGGACAGTGCTAAGTAGAGAAGAGGTCGGAGCATGCAAACTATTTGCAGGTGCTCTTAGAACAGAAGCTGTGGCTCCTTCCTAGTGTATCTGTAATCTCCGCTATTAAAAAACTTGTTGCAAGTATGAACAAGAGATTCCTAATGTATATTTATGTTTACGCCTGTATTTGCATGTGGGAGCCATCAATAGCCCTGTTACCTTCGTCTCGCCCGTTCTTAGTAGGTTTAATGATCGAGGAGAGAACGCAATCTAGAAACTGCAAAGAAAACCGTAATATTTTGGTAAATAATAATGATATTGTAAGGTTATCCCCCTTTCTCGTCCTTGCCTGGAATCTCCTCATATCTATCCTCTTTTAGACTTGTTTCCCCTATCACAACTGATCTTTCCCACATAAACTCAAACTCTGACCTCTTCCTTGGACTAAATAAATGCCCTGGAGCACTCCGATACACACTCACAGTCCGATGGCTTTTAAGTGTATGGGGGGTAGGCTCATTCTTGAACCTGACATACGTAGATCCTTTGGCGCCAAACTTCTGGAATGCATTGCAGAATAGTATCGAGAAATAGTTTCGGTCTTTGTGAGAATCAGATGCAAGATCCAAATAGAAACTCGTGGGGAAATATATATCGTTTGTCGGAAATGAACGCGGCAACCGTACCCCCCCCCCCCCCCCCCGGACAATAATACAACATTTAGATTGTGGGCCTGTTGATTCCGATGAAAGATTAGAAATTCTTTGGCAAGTCTAATGTCTGGGGATTTGAAAAGTCCAGCCCTGCAACTGGGGCCTGAGCAAATAACGTTCAAAACTGATTGACCGTAAAATTCTGCCATACGAGAACTTTCTGCAATCTGATCTCCGCGATCCCCTTGAACGATGCTCTAGACATTGGCCCAAACATATCTGCAATCGAGGTGTCGAACAAGAACGATAGGATTTTGAAATGGCCCTGCTTTACGCTCCCAAGGTATACTTAGCCTATAACCATCGAGCCTTGCCCGAATTAATTTCACGTGCTAGAAACTGCAGGATTGCCCCAAGAGAGACTGAGTGTCATATAGGAAGTTTCAGCATCAGGCCCCTCCATTGAGAAAAGCCTCAAATCTAGGGTCTAGAGCATGGCTCTGTAGACTGAGCATACGACTCGGAGGTCTTCTCATTGTCAATGAAGAGCGTAACCTTTATGTTTTGGCACTCTCGCAGCCAACCTATATAGGTCTCAAAGAAAGCTAGTGAGAGCTCTGTTACTTTATGTGTAGCAATATTGCCATTCAATTTAAGGAGCGAACATCCCTCAGGTTTCTCTAGGATCATAAGTTCGGTCACTAGACTATAGAGAGTTAGAGGCAAAACAAATAATATGACATATGTAGTGCTGCTCTCAGTAGATTGCAAGGGACTTCTTGAGCTCGCTCAACTACCCTGGATAAATCAAACCTACGTATATCTATGACCTCGAACATATACTTCTCTCGTTCGAAATTGGCATACCTTTGTGCATGATATTGTACATTGAACTTAATCTCCCTCAAAAATTCCGAAAATACGTTGGTAATCCTAGACTGACCCTGCGGGCAAATCCGAACTCGACTCGATCACCTGAGGAATACTTCGAGGGCTCCTGAATCTCAGCAAGCAGAAGGGAACAAGACTTACAGCTACACTGGCTCGAATTGAAAACAACTTTGGGAATTCAATATAGATTAAAGTTATCTGCTGCCTAGCGAAGCATGGTTTTACCAAGATAGTTGAAAAGAGTGTTACACATGGGACGTAGATAGTACTTTTCAAGGCTCTTCAGTGTTGTCGCCTCGACTTCAATGAAGCTAAACTCCATTTTTCGATAATCTGTAAAGACACTAGCCTTTATATCTAATGAGCAGTGAAAAAAAAAACCACCGAGATCGAAATCTAGATAATCCTCGACAATAAGATACTATGGCAGGTTAATGGCTAAGGTTTTCACAACATCGAGGTTGAGACCAAAACCACACCCGGTGTGGTACCTAAGACTAATTAAGGGAATTAAGAATTGTTAGGTGTAGAAGAGAGAATTGTCTCATGGTGGGCTGAAGTAGATGGTGATTGTGCGGTGTGAGTGTCAGCTCGCGCAGAAAGAAATACTTCCCTGTTCCCTCTCTTTCGAGCTTTCAACATTACACAGTATAAAACAGTAACCACTTACCACTTAAACGGTAGGGCCCCTCTCCCTGTACCCGAGAATATGCAGTAGTGGTGATAGAAATAAAAATAATAAAAATAAAGATTTTTTCAAATCGGGGGATCGAACCCCGGTCTCGAGCGGTTGATCTGCCGAAGCAGACATTAACATACTCGCATGCTCCCACTGCACCAATTTGAATTTGTTACGTTTGCTGCTAGCAGACTGCTTATTTTCGTTTATCAAGACGAGCTTTGGGCAAGACTCCTCCTCTTGAGACATAAATATTTAAAATGATATTTGTTTTGAGAGGAAAGAAGCCTTTAAGAGCTCGAATGCACTACTACACTAATTTGAATTTTTTGTGTTTGCTGAGGACATCCAGTATGTTCCGCTTATCAAGGCGATCTTTGTTTGGGGCACATAGGTTGCAGACATATCCTGAGTAAGCCCGGTCTTGGAATGTGGTGGTGGCACAGTCAGGCAGAAGGATTAGAGATGTGCTAGAACATCAAAGTTGCTACAGTCACCCGAGACTCGTGAGGCAAACATAATTAGCCCGACGGTGATCAAATAATTTTAATTGTCTACCTTTACTCCCCCTGACCTCTTGTAGCCGTAAATTCTCGTTCAGATGTGAAGCAAGTAACACCTCCCAAATGATGTAAACCCCCACCCATGCCATGCAGCCGTATCCCTAAACGTTATAAATTCATGAGTGGTATCATCTAAAAGAAAACACTCCTCTTCTTCTGCATCTTCTTCCCTCCGCTACCTAGGCCAAAGAACCCACTCGAGCTTGCCGTCCCATTCCCAGGTGCCTGCAAATAGGGCCCAGAGGTGCTTCCACCAAGCCAGGTGTTCAGACTAGGATGCGGTTGTCCCTGTGTCTGAGGTGTGCTGGTTGGCCTTTGAACCGGTGGAGGTTGAGAATGTGGTGCACTTTGATGTTGTGGCATCTGCACTGGGAACCCTGGCTGTTGCGAAGGCGATCCATTTGTACGGGATGGAAGAGGAGGGTGGAATTGCGTTTCTGCTGGGACACCGTATTGTTTTCTTAGACGCTCAGTCTCTTTATCGACTTCAGCTTTTTTTCGTTGGCGCTCTTTTTCTTCTTCTTCCAACATCTTTTTAATTCGTTTTTCCTCTATCTTCTCAGCGCGCTCGCGCTCCTTCTTTGCGGCTTCCTCACGCTGTTTCTCTTCTTTCAGCAGTCTTGCAGTCTCGGCATCAATCTCCCATTGTGTCCGAGGATCTGCTGGGGGAGGTCGAGAGTCCCGCCGAGGTGGTTTATTTACTTGTTGAGGGGGGATTTGTGATTGCGGAATATTGTTCAATTGATTCACTCGTGGTGGACTGGAGGCGAAAACTGCCCCAGACATTAATGGAGGCGAGGAAGCTTTCCCAGTACCAGCAATAACTGGCCCGCTGTTTTTCCGTCTTGTGCCTGCCATTGTTGGTGAGCTGATATTGAACATTTCCCTGTTAGCGTTGAAGAAGATGTCCTTAATAACCGCCGCACCCAGTATCAAAACCACCTCTAAACCCTTAACATCCTCGACATCAACTCGGTGCATATTTGGCTCGTAAATTGTTAAGTGGTTCTGATCTCTAGAACTTTTATGCATCGCAACCGTAATATCTGGTTCCTTCTGCTTCTTTCCATCATTCGTTTTGCCCGATAGGTAACACGATATATCCTTCGACAGTTTTCCATCTCTCTTCCACTTGAACCCAATTTTAGGTGTAATAGCCGAAATAGCTGGGTCATTTTGGCTTCGGTCAAGTGCTGACGACGAGGGAAGTCGGAAGCTATTCTGCGGCATCTCAAATTCCCAATATGCAGAGCTGAATGTTGACCCAGGTATTTGCTTGACTATCACTTGTTGATCTGGGTTGTAAAGTTGTATTGTGAAACTGGTTGGTACGATTGGTACAGGAGGAGGTGGTATACCATTTTGGGCTCGAACCTCGGCCGCCGAGAGAGTTGGCTGTGTCCATTCTGGCTGGACTAGAACTTCTGCATATAAGACTTCGGGGTTGTAGGAATCGTACAGAGCTACTCCATAACAGTTCTTCGCTGCTGGGAGATTCGGGTCTGGGCGTCGAAATGTATATTCGGGCTGTAGCTCGGAGCCACTTTTCGAGAGGAAGATAGTAGTTGACAGTGGGTTATCGGAGTTTTGTTTGAAAAAGAAGGTTGGAAGGTTTTCGTCCAACATCGTGCCTGTATGTGGCTGCCGACTGCAGCAGATATGTAGTTGTTGGGATCAGGGAAGTGTAAAGTGTGATGTGGCAAGCTCTTGACTTGTAGCTTCTGGAAAGTTAGACCCGAGTAAGAGAGGTGCTTGTTTGATGGACGAGGCTAAGAGATGAGAGGTTCATGATCATAAGAGGGAGCGGATCGGTTTGTTAGATGACTGTGCAGACTTGCGCAGCTATCTAGTGAATGAATCGTGGGGCTGACGAGTCGTTGCAATGCGATGAGGCTGAGCCTCGCCAATTGTCCAGCGTCTCCAAATGTTTCCATCGACAATTCGAAACACGCAGCTGATTGGCCTCTATTTCGGGAACCGTGCACAACGTTAAGGAACGGTGCCGATCACGTGGATCTTATCCAACATACCCGAAGCAGTTTGTGCCAGTCCTGCAGCCAAGTCGAAGGATTCTTTTGCGTCGCAAGACAATGATGCGTTCATCAGGTAAACAATAAGCCTGTGCCAAGTCGGAATTCCGATAGGCTCATCTTCGGAACGGTTGGGTACATCATTCACTCAGGATTTAGTTGACTTTAGCCTCATCTCTGCCTCAAACCTTACGTGCACCACAATTCTTATGAGAGCGCAAAATTTGTGTCGTCTTATCAGAACTTATATTATTCAGTCTGGATTGCTAAGACATACTTTAAGCCTTCTTCTTTGGCCTTCTCGTCATCATTATAAATAGGTATACGTGGTCGTCCCCTGGTTATGCTCCGCGCTATGCATGTAATGCCTCTCCCATCAAGATGACCAAGCTCCAGGCCTGCCGTCTCAAAGTTATATGTACACTGAAACCCTCAACTCATATACAGCTCTTCTATACACACCTTAACCGATCATGTCTTAATCGATCCCGGTTTTCTTGTTTAGTATCTCGCTCGGTACGCGAGAACCTCTTGAGATCTGAATCTCGTCTCCCGGATGGAACTTGAAGACTGGGTCTTCGCTCATATTCCTTTGGTGGTTCAAACCAATTTGAAGTGAATTGGGTATGACTGGAATTGGAATATTGGGAATCTCTGGCACCTCGGTGGCTTGTTTCCTTTCAATCCGGCCACTTTGTTGAGCCACCCATGAGTTGACTGTTCGAAAGCGTGGAGCAGATTCCTCAGACGTAGTGGTGTAGACAGTATCACGATCTCTTGTTGCTGTCCGTGCCCATGAAAACCTGCTAGCACCAGGGGCCTGGCCTTGACTTTGACGAGAGTTGGGGTTGGTCATTCCGTCAGGCATAATGAGACCATCACCAAAGCCTGATGAAAGAGATGAGAGATAGCTCATGTGTTGCATCTGGTTCGTATTCTGAAGATTTGTTGTTTGTTGAGAAAGAAAAGTGCCTTGAGTGGCCATTGTACCGTTCGCATTTGTAGCGCTTGATTGTTGCCGTGATAGCATAGTGTTTCGTCGTCCAGTATTATTGTAGTCGACCTGTGTTTCCGGAGAAGTTTGTTGCTGTGAATATCCCATAGGTGCCGAGTTGGCTAGTAGATCTCCCTTTTGAGAGCCAGAACGAGATAGCCCCTGGCCCGCTGCCGTTTCAGGCCTTGCCAGTTGTGGAACTGCAGGTGGTGCGAAAGCGCCATCAAATTCTCGTTGTTCTTTACCCTCCTTTTCAAACTCGGCATAGTCGAATGGTTCTTCACGATATTTAGGTGGGGCGTCTGACATGTAGGCATCCCTATCCCTACTCTCTCTTCTCCAACCATAGATTCCGCGACTCCCCCCCCTTCGGATTTGGCGATTTCTCACACTTGAGAATGGATCAATCTTCTTCATCCGCAAAATGAAATAAACAGCAGCAATAACAATGATGAATGCGCCTGTTAAGTGAAAATGTTAGCCGCGTGATATAATCTTATAGAATCATCTTGCTTACCTATGGCTCCAGCAGCAATCAAGAGGCGCTCTGATGTTGGTGATAAACCATTGTCACCCTTCTTGTCTTTATCTTTGTTGTTATCCTTGTTGCGATGAGGCTGACCACTGGGTAGAGATTGCGATGGTGGCTCAAGGACGCTTTGAGGTAGCACAATTGTCTGCGTAGGTGCCGTGGATGTTCTCGTTCTGGTCCTCCCTGATGATGATGAATCTGTCGGTGTCTCGGTTTCTAATCCTTTTCGAGGCTGACTCGATGTATCAGATTGTGAGGCGAATTGAGGCTGAGGTATTTGTGAAAATATAGATGGATTTGGCGCAATCGTAGTAGGAAATAATGAAGCAGCAGGAGGCTATTCACAGTTAGTACATTTATATATCGTCAGGAGCAATGTTAGTTAGCCTACGGATGAAGTGGTAGAGGGAGCAGCGGCGGCAACGGTGGAGGTGATGACAACCGTGGTTGGGGTTGTACTTGCTGCGGCTGCTGAAGTCATAATCACGGTAGTAGTTGCAGGCTGAGGAGACTCAAAAGGTCCATTAGGAGGTGGAGGTCCGTTGTCTTTCGCACTTGGGTTTTTATCCCCGTTGTTGTTTCCACCACCACCACCACCACCACCGCCTCCCCCTCCTCCCCCTGACCCATCCCCGTTACTCTTGTTCTTGTTGTTGTTGTTGCTCCCACCACCTCCACTCCCATCGTTCTTGTTGTTATTCGATGAATCACCATTTCCATTGCCGTTTGAATTGCTATTGCTCCCATCCTTTGCTTGATCCCGGCCATTCTTCCTGCCATCGCCGCTGCCACTATTGCTCCCACTGTCGTCCTTCCTCCTCCTCAACTGACTGCCCTGCATAAGACCATGCCGCTGCCTCAGATCCTCCATTGTGGCTTGCGGTAATTGGTCTAGAGGCGCCATTGTCGTATTCATCCTCCGCAAAAGGTACGACAATACTACCGATGGGACGCCAGAATGCTCGAATCTTTGAGCATACACGGATGCTCAAAACTGAAAGTAAGTCGCTGCAAGAATACCGTCAACAGATTCCCGGTTCCCCCAAAAA